TATTGTCAGGACAGCTCCAAAACCACGTTTTACAGTCGTCGAAGATCTACTAGACACACACTGGAACAATCAGCGACACAGCCTTAACACTGTCAGGCTATAACGGTGGAGACAGCTTCACTGCGAAGCACCAGAGTACAGCTCCCGACTCTGCTTGGTCGTTCTCAGAAGTCCTTGTACTCTCGAGACTCTCCACGCTGCAACTCGCAATGCATTCGACACACAGAGCACAGCTCCCAACTCTTCGGTTCAGTCGTTCCCAGATCTCAACAGGCTCTCTCGATGATGCACTAAGAGAGTCCTTCGGTGCACTCGCTGGCCGGCTGTCAACTCGATCGTCTCCGCATGGACTAGCTAGATGAGACACTCGCACTCTAGACGAGACACACTCACTCTCCCTCTCAATGAGGCACACTCTCGATACTAACTGACTGCGGACCAGCAGGCTTTATATAGCTTTCGGCTTGTGTTATAGAACATTCTGGGCTAAACCGGTAAGAATTCGTTCCAGAAGGTTCTCCATCAGTCCATGGCATATCGCCAATTATGTTGCCAAACGGGCAATTTCTCGCCAAATGGGGCACCCTGCCTTCTCTTGCCATTTTATGGCAACTGTAAAACTGCTTTGCGGGGAAGCCATCTCACCGCGCCTTGACATTTCGTAACAATATCAGTGCCATTCTTAATTCAACTCCAGAAGAATTACATTGGGCACAATAATATTTTTTTGTTGCACGAATGTATATGCATGTAATTTATTTCGGAAAACAAAGATAAACAATTTCGATACAAAGATGAACTTGGACTAAAGGTTAGAGAAGAAGGTAGTATATAACTAAGAATGATTCACATGCAAAAGATTCTGATTAACTACTTGCATACCTAAAATCATTCCCTTTCATTCTTCAGTCTTATTTGTTTTTCCCGTGAAATGCCCTATTTCATCAAAACAATATTTCATGCTATTCCCTCTAATTGTTTCAGAGTGATAACTGAATCATGAAGATGACTTTCCGGTATTTCCTTGGTCTGTAAAAGGTCATCACTTTTAGTACCATTTAAAAGATAGCTTCAAGTTGCTACCTTTTAAACAATACTCAAAGCTGACTGACCTCTTACTTAATGTATTCATCTAGAAACAAGCTTTTGTAGAAACAGTTAAGAACTGATTTCTATTTACAACATTTAACTTGGTGATCCAAATTTTACTTCTAGTCAATTAGAAAGATTAGCCACTTCTTCATTTTTCTAGAAACTATGACATTTAACTTGGTGATCCAAAGTTGGATTTTACTTCTAGCTAATTACAAAAATTCAAATGGCCAGAACCATCCTTTAACAATGCAGTTAGATACAGATTTCTGCTTGGCTTCCAGGTTGAATTACTTATCGAGATATCTTTACCTGTTTACGTCAGAAAAATTGTAGATATCTGGTTATTGCCTTATAAGGTATTTTCTCACTCCTTTCTGCATGCCTTCGTTGGGTAATGGTAGCACACTAGATGATTATTCGAAAGGTCCAGGTTTGAATCCCAGCAAGAGCATTGCTCATTTTCCACTTCTGCTTTTTTTTAAAAAAAAAACGTTTTGATAACTGTACAGTGATGTCTAAACTAAAAGGTGGTGGATGATGATTCTTCACTACCAGGATTTGGCGATTGGGCCCCCTAATCCCCCAGTCGTCCTTTAAAAGGGGGAGTATATATCCCAGCGAGAGCACTGCTCATTTTTCATGCCTTCTGCTTCAAAGCATCGTAATGACTCAACAGCCTGAAGTAATTATTGAATGTAAACATATCTGTTGTGGTAATTCTGTATTTGACTAAAAAAATTCTATAGTGTTCAACTGAAAAAAGAAATTTTTTTGAGAATATTATATCTAGTAGCATGCTAGCTGATATGTTGTCATTAAATATCTTATGCTATTGCATGATATCAAACTGCCTATCCCAATTTGAATCACAAAATAAGTATATAAGAAAAAGCTATGAATTTATATGGCTTGCCTGTTTGGTGTTTCATAATTCTTTCCAATTACTCTGATCATGGCCATTAAAAATTTTGAATTTCGAAATGTAAGTAGGAATGTTTTTAAGATGGTAAAGGAGTCAAGGGAAGTAAAATTACTTGCCATCAATCTGAAAAATGAACAATTTTTTGGCCTCATTTTCCCCATTAAATTTAGTTTCTTTTCATTTAAAATGTTAACTTATATCTGGTAAGCAAAATCTAATTTTAATTTTATTATGCCAGTTTTCAACTGGAACTATATGTATGGTTTTTGAATATTTTAACTTCGTAACTTTTATCTGTTTATAAATATTATTTCATAGTTTTCATCAGTTTCATAATTTACTGGGGCCCACCAGCGGCCGAGCGGTAAAGACGCTGAACACTGGTAATTCGGTCTGAGGTTCGAATCCCGCGAACGGCCTGGCTGCATGGGCGTTTTCATGGTTTTCCCCATGTGTAACGTGTATACGAGTCAGTTTCCCGTAAAAAGCCCTCCACAAAGGCATCCCTCCCTTTAGGCACATAGCCCTCATGTGCTTTGCCATAATTAAATAATCCAATCCATCATTTACTGAATGCTTAGTTAAAAATACTAACTTCAATTCTGCCTTTGTCAAAGTCTCATTTTGTGATTTTTTATTATTCCTTTCTGTTTTGCTTGCTACATGTGCATCAGTTGTTATCTGTTCTCTATATGTTACTTTATAGTTAATTTTTGTTTTCATGTATTATATATATTTAAAAACCGTGATGGTATGTCATTTTTGCAACTGATTAAAAAATAGTTTATTATTAAGCAGAGAATTTTATTATAGTTAAAATTCTTTGAAAGATTTCTTCAATTACCTTTTGATCATCAAGTAGCTTAGCTCACATTCTAGTTATGCAGTGCAGTGGGCCCAAATGAACATTCCGAATTCACGACTGACCAGTTATGTGTAGTTGGGAAGAAAGAATTGCATAATCTTGCAGCTGCTGAAGAGAAACTCGAAGCTTATTCTAGAGGAAGAAGCATTCTATTTCCATATATATAATTTTTATGTTACCTTTAAATTATCTGTCTGTTCAACATTAGTAGCGTGAACTACTTAGTTTTCCAATACGTGAAGTGTTTCTGATTTGTGATTTTTAAACCCAGATTAATGGTACTTCATTAAAGTTCATTGTGTGAATTTTCTGCTTCTTCCTGTTTTGCATTGAAATCAATGATTTATCTTTAGTTGCAAGAACAGTGTATGAAGACTTTTTTAGTATGCAGTTTGCAGTAATAAAATCAACTTCTGTTAGTAATGGATTTTCATAAGCAGTAGTTGTCTCTGCTTTTTATCTTAATATTCATATCATCAATGATCCAATTTGTACTATCTTGGATGAAACAATAAAAAGTATAAATGTCTAGATATCTAGTACAAAGTTATTGCAAATAAAGCCTATACAAGAAAATGAAAAATTTATATTCTCTTAAGTGCAACTTCCTAGAACTGTATAAAATATTCTGGGAAGGGAAGTAATAAGAGAATTTGCAGTAAAAATGTGGTAGTACTTAGCTTGGGGATATTAGAAAAAATTTAGCTTATTCAGTATGATGTGATTATGAATATTACTTGCTCTACTTACCACTTACATATAGTTTCCAAAATCAATAAAATAAAAAAAGTGTATATAAAAGTTACGAAAATGTTCAGTTTTTAGCATTTGCTCAAAAGGGCTCTTTTAAAGTGTAATATGGTTAATTAGCAGAGATTAACAATAGAGTTAGTTGTACCAGGTGAAATAGCGAAATACTTTATAGGAATGCTAGGTGAATTAACTAATTTAGATTAACATGGGAATGTTATATATCTTTTGTGCATTTGAAAAGTAAAAAAATATGTAAGGTATTTCTATAAAAAAGATTTAATGTTTGTAATTAGCTATATCATGAATTAATTGAATTTTTATTTAAATTAATCAGATTCAAAGGTAAAAAAAAAATATTTTTAAGGACTACATCTATTACTTTTAAATAGCTTAATTTGTTTATCAGCAGCAGTCAGATTAAATTTAAAAGAGAAATATCTTACAGTACCATTTTGCTGAATGGTAGCATACTTAAATGAAAAGTGAAATAACACGAGATCGCATTTTGTGATTAATACCCCTCTTAGGCTAAAGTATTATTGACAGAATAAATTCTAGTAATAAATATGTATATATTTTGACAAAAACTTAGTTCAAAATTTTAATAGGTCCTTTGAACTAAAAAATCACTGTCTTCTATTGTAAAAGGTTAGAGGGAGGAAAAGCAAAATAAGTGCAAGATACTAACCAAAATTTTAATAAAGTGATTAAGTTATTTTGTTTTCAGAAGTAATTTAAATTAAATTAATTATTGATTTTAAATTCAAAAATTAAATATAATTCGATGTTAATTTGCTGTGCTTAAATATTTGAGTAATGCTGATGTTTAAATCTCTTGGGAGATTTTTACTTCCTTTCTTTGTTTTCATGAGATAAAAACATATTTATTGAGAATTGGATGATTTTAGGGCCCTTAGAATAATTAAGCCTTTGTCATGAATGAATTGGATGAAAATATTATGAAATTTCACATTTCAGCGATGTCAAGCGCCGATTAAAATAGATGTGGAGACCCTGTACGAGCATTCTTTCCGGCAACCCGAAAGCCCGCTTTTTTTTTTTTTTTTTTTTTTTTTTTCTGTTTTTTATGAAGAAAAACAGGATTGCTAGAAACTATGTAATGATTTTGGATAACTTTAATGCGTAAAAGCACTGCATTGAGATAAATTCTGACTACCAGTATTTGATGATTATGTGGATTTGAAAGCAAACACAAAAATATAATTATTTATTTATTTTTCGGTATTCAGATTGACGCGGTGATGTTTTGCTTAAAATCCTTCAAAGGTGATAAATGAGCCAATTTGGTATTGAACTTGAATATGGCAACCCCGTCAGCCAGGCGCACCTGTTTTGTTTTGATAATTCAGCATCCGCTCGCTGGCAAACATGGCCTCCGCTGATCGGTGGTTGATTTGTGTTATTGTAGTGTGCTGTTGCATTACTTTCTGTCTGTCCGAAACGTATACATTTAACCAAAACATAGGGGTAGCGTATGAATTTAAAATACATGTTGATGCTGGAAAGGAAGAATGCTTTAGCCAGTACATTCATCCTGGGTCAACATTTTACGTCGCTTTTCAGGTAAGTGAAACCGGGTTAGATGTCATTTTGCCAGATGGAATGAATGCCACGTGTTGATTGTGTAGATTTAAATGATCGTCTTTTTGTAGCGCCTGCGTTATGCGTTTTCTTTGGGGGGGGAAGAGGGGAGGGGTGTCGATTATTAATTTCTTTGCTTCTAGCCTGAAAGAGGTATTGCAATGAACACTAATTGACTTCTGTTTGCAAGAATTAATTGTAAAATTAATTTACTTGCTTATATTTATGATAAATTTTCAAAAAATGAATTTCTAAAGGAATTATGTTCTTAATGATGTCTTGACATATGTTTAATTTAAAAGAGATAATACGCTTGGATTTTGCCATAAATCAAATAAATACTTGTAATTTTAAATTTTATGCAAATTTTAAAAATAATGAAACAAATTTATATACGTATGAATTTTTCTCGCAGCTTTTTATCCCATTTTACTGTTATTAATTATGAAGTATTTATTATAGATATTTTTATATTTTCGAATTTATGCCGAAAACCGAGCTGTCTTTTATAAATGCTTGTGTATGCAGATATCTAAAATTCGTTTAATTTTCTGTTGTACGATATCAATGTATAAAGAACATTTCGATTCTGCGAACTGTTTACGATTTTAAAAGTTACTCAGAAATTGCAAAAAAATTAAGATTTTTGAATTATAATCGAGATATTACATTTTGGAATCAACAAGATTTGGTCTCCTCCTCCTCCTCTTTGTTATTATTGTTAAATTTAGAACAATTGCCTGTCAAACGATTTTTTAATGCACTGTTATAAGAAGAATGAGTAAAAATTGCAAATTGTAAATCAGTAACTATGAAACTTAAATATATATTAAGAAGCAAATTACATGTTTTAGTCCCGATTTTTTAAAGAAAACAAAGAGGCTATTTTATAACTCTTTAAATATTCTAAGCTTATTAAAATTTTAAAATGAATATTTCAAACTCAACTGTGCTGTTTTATCTTATCTGATCATAAGATTTTGCTGCAGTCCGTTCTTTTCTAACCAGGTATTTTGTTCTTTAATTAGTTATTAATTGCTTAAATTAGCATCAATAAGTATAAAACTAATAATTATATAATGCAATAGCATTTTCTCCTGACAGATTAAAGATTAGTCTATTTGAAGATCGAAAATGGATATTAATATAAAAAACTGAAAGTGGTGATGACGACCGGTCAACGAAGAAATAAGCGAAAACCCAAAAAGCCCCGAGAGTTTTTGTACATTTAATCAACATAATTGTTGCCTAATCTGTAAGACGCTTCTTTATGAGTTGCAGTCAAGATAGGAGTTTAACGACCTAGTGAATAGACTGATCGAATGTAGGTCATTTTTGGCGTAAGAAAAGACATTTAAAAAAAAAAAAAGGATTTTGTTTCTTATAACCTACAGTTTATACTGTTTGCGATCTGTTTGTTCGTCACACCTTTTCCGATCGAAACAGGTTTTTCTGAAACAGTCAAAATTACAATGTCTTTTTATTCCTTGCAAAATTGTTAGTTGGCTCCTTAGCTAGTGGCGGTGCCCTAAGCAATTTTACACGGCCTGTTAATGTGTTTTAGTTATGTATTTGTTGTAAACAGTGGCGGATACAGAAATCGAAGGGGCAGTCATGTTTTTTAATGATTTAATTATTAACTTATTACAAGTAAATATATATGTGCGTGCGTAAGATAAAAAATATGAAAAACAAACTTCTAATTTTAATTGGCAAAAGCCCCATAAAACTTCATTTTAATTTGGGTATATCCCCCTTTCTGATCTAAAAATAGTAACTGCTATAAAAAATTTCTGCGGTCTGCGCCATTTTTAGATTAAACCATATCAAATGACTTGGTTGGTGACGTAAATAGTTTTGCGAACTAAAACTCAGCAATAGCAAATTATAATTTTGGAGCGCTATCGTAATTCAGAATGGGTTAATTTTGATTTCAATACCAATCAAATGGTATTGAAACCAAAACTGATCCATTCTGAACTAAGATTTTGTTCTGAACACAACGCATTTCGCTACTGTTTCTACTAGACTGCTGTTGCGCTGTTATCTTATCGCAACATTAGTACAGGCACGATTAGTGTGCTAAATTATTTATATCCCCCAAATGTCAATTCGAATTAAAATGAATATTTAAAATCTGCCACGGCAGTTTATTTTTCATTATCGATATTCTGTGTATGCTTCAAAAGCTCTCTCTACGTAATCGGCTTTTCAATATTGTTACAAGGGAAGTAAATCTGGAGAAGTTTACCGCATCGACTTGCTGTAATAACTTGACGCTAAAATTGGAGGCGTAGAAGATAAATGCATAAAAAAGGATGAACTTGCAGACGTGATTAAATTCAACTATTTCCTTTTTATTCGTGGTTGGAACAAATTTTTACTTAATCCATTACAAATCAACTGAGCGCTATAGTACTTTCTTCTTAAAGAATATTTTACTTTGGATGAATTTAAAAATATATTTTTTGAAGGTTGTTTCGAGAGCGAAGCGATAAGCCGAAAGGTGACGCATTCAGAAGAAAGCATGGAAGAGTTAAATGTAATTTCGGTTCTGAATAGAAATCTGAATCTGTGCTTGGATAGAAGGTGTCTGCATTGCAGCGTTAAGTAAAGTTGTATGAAGTGGAATAATTTTGAAATGACGCAATTTCGATTAATGCATTATAAGCAGCTATTATTTTTGATACAGAAAGGGGAAATGTCGTGCTTAAAATGAAGGGGCTTTTGGCCAATTAATATTAGAAGTTTGCTCTCATATTTTTAATCTTACACACACACATATGTATAACAAGTACACAGGACACAAAACTTCATTTGAAGGGCTTAAATAATCTAACTTTTTACCGTACTTCTTTGCAAATAGGCCGAGATTCTCTTCAAGAGCTACTTTTATGAATATTTAGCATATTCAGACCGTTCTTTCTCTTTTATGGATTCGATTCCCGCGAACGGAGTGGCTTCATGGTTTTTCTCATGTGTAACATGGATACGAGCCAGTCTTCCTTAGTAAGTCCTTCACGAAGGCATCTCTTCTCCTAGGCAGTCTCTTGTGTTCTTTGCCGTAATCAAATGAGCCAAACCTTTAGCACAGGGGTTCGCAATCTTTTTATCCCTAATAGCACATTCTAGAAAATGTCTGTTGGGCGGCGAGCACCATTTACTTTTTCAAGGTGAATTTATCGTTGGATAGAATTAATAATACATGCACATAAAAAAAGAGAGAGAGATCGGTTGTATTTCGCTTTGCATTGGTATCTGTTTTGGATGCGAATTTTATTTCATTAAAAATGAGAAACTTTCACACAGAATTGTATCGAAAAGTAAAGCCTTTTTATTGTGATCGCACAGCGGCGGGCGCCGCGGTGCCCACACACTCAGAGTTGAGAAAAATCCGTACGAAACCATTCCTGCTGTTAGACCATGGAGGTATACCTCCATGTGTTAGACAGATAGCTCTCATATGTTTTGCTGTAATCTATAAATTTGTTTAAAACAAATGCATAGGCTACTCAGAATTGATTGTTATTTTATTTCTTCAATGTTAATTGCATAGTTACGTTCATTTACACTTTCAAAACACTTTTATTTCTGTTCTGCCTGCCGTTTAAAAGAAATTCAAAGTTAGACAAAATTTAATCTTAGTTTGGCATAAATTTTAGAGAAATACTCTATTGTATTTTGAAAGAATCTGATACGTGTTCTCTTCTCCAAAAAAATCAAAATATACTGAAGTACCGCTTTCCATTTCTGAAATTATTCGAATTTTATCTAAACTATTGAATAATCGATAGACTGTTTTTAGGTGTCATATTCGTTTCCGCCTGTTTTCAATCTGTTAGAGAAAAAAAATTTAGTATTCGGTTATATTTAGTACGTAATTCTTTGCATGTCGGAATTCTGCATGCATGCAACATGACTTAATCGAAGAAATGACTGCCTTCATAATTACAAGCAATCGCAATGAATAAGAATTAAACATTATTATATATATATTTTTTATATCTTCATATTTGCTTTACAAATGGGCACTTTTATCATTTATTTACTCTTTTAATGCAGGCTGCGCGATGTGAACAGCTGTAGCAGAAACACACAGGAAGTCCAAGCTGCTCAGACTAAGGCCTTGAGAATATCAGTGCACCATTAGTTCAGAAAGAACACGGTTTTGCGTAACGACCTGAACCTAGAAACTGTCTTTCACGATTTTATGCAGACTGAGAGTTTATAATAAAATTATGTGATCTTTGATCTTAAATATCTACTCTGATGTTCAAAATTAAGATGTCTTCACAGCTGATAGACAAGTTTTAATGAAATTGGATAGGGACATAACTTGATATAATGCAAAAAAGTATGCCATACAACACTTATGGTATAGTAACCTGACCGTGCGTAAAGCTCATTGCCTGGGAAGGTCTAGAAGTTCCAAGGTCGATCAAAAAAAAAAAAAAAAGTGAGGTTAATAGAAGGTAATGGTATCTTCAAATAATCCTGCAGCTCCTGATAGCGTGACTCATATTGGAAAAGAGACTCCGGCAGTCGATTCCATTCCTTCTCCAGTGTGGTTATCCCCGTGTGTAATGTGAATGCGAGCCACTTTTCCTTAGAAAGTCCTTCGCGAAGGCATTTCTGCCCTTAAACAGATAGTCCTTGCTTGCATTGCTGTAATCAAACAAACCAAATCAGCCTACTCCTACAGTGCCTACATAAGAGCCATGTTCTACAGGGTTCAATTCTAGAGATCTGTTTCACGAATCTGTCTGGTTAATATCTTCACTTTCCAGAAATTTATCTGTCAAGTTAGCTTTATCCGAACGTGCACTGTCGTGCATAAAAATGAACTCTCATTCAATTTCACTTGTGTTAAACCGAATATAAAGCTGTAAGATTTCTTCCCTATACCTCACCGCAGTCAGAAATCTCCTTTATATTCATATCTTGGGATTTTTAATTCCCTCTTTATCCATTTCTTTTTTAAG